CTCAGTAATCTAGCACGAAATGATGAAAGACTCGCCGAGGAACGATTATTAGATTGGCAATTTGAGACGGTGGCGAGAGTTTCTGTTTTCTAGATTTTGTCGTTTATCATTTTTCTAGTCCAACGTACGTACATAACAAAAATGACAATGAACGTTTCTAGTTTTTCTTGTTTTTCGATGGTCATTACAATGACCTTTGTCTTCAACCTCATGTTTATTTTTCCAACTCCGGCATACATTTTTTCCTCGTCATTGTCTCTTTAACTATTATGATTAGAAGATTTTTATTTTCTGAAAGTTGATTAGTACAAGTACGGATCATACATGACAAGCACTACCTTATGGTTTATACGAGTGAGTGTGTGTGTACATATCGTAAAATGAAAGCATGAAAGTCCATATGCACCCGGTTCACTTTCTCTCGCCAGAATCTTTCATAAAACTTCATAAAAAGCCTCGTCCAATAAAATATCATATATAAAATATGGTCCGATTCATAAACGTGATCTTGGAAAGGATATCCACTTGCCCCCACAAAAAAAAAAAAAAAAAAAGAAAAAGAAAAAGAAAAAAAGATACCCACTCCAAATGCTAACCGAAAGGTCAATGCCCAAGGGGAACCAATTATGAGAAAAGGAAATCATAAACCTCTACTATTTAAGCATAGAAGTGTTTATGGATAACAAAATGCAAGTACTTATTATTATTATTTTTCTCTATAAATAAGGTACAAATACTTGTATAAAAATCTTTTAGTGTCTCATTTAGTGTTATATTAATCATTTTATGCCACACGTTATGTAAAAAATTAAAATATTTATCATGAGATGATATGATATGATTTGATTGATTGGATATCAATTAAAATACTAATGTCTCGTTTCATTTCACTAATTCGAATTTAGAGTTTGAGTTTTGTTACAGTAAAAAACTTTCAGAAATAATTATATCTAATTTTTTTATTATAATAAAAAATTATCACATAAAATCACATTTTAATTTAAATAAGTGAATTAAATAGGTCCTAAAAGTTCAACAGAAAATTTAGATTATTCTATTCACACCCTCTCATACAGTGGGATCCACGCGTTCCATATATAGGGCCACCTTTTATGAAAGGTTGTGTAAGTAACCCATGGGTATATATATATATATATATTTGTTAAAATAAGGAATAGCAAGCCAGGCTGTTCAGTTGAGAACATGGGGACCCGAAAACGGGTTCAGGGGGCATAGTTCGCCATCAGTCAGATTTTGGACCAGCCCACCTTGACAACTAACATTGCCAAGGTAGCACGTGACACCAGTAATGTAAATCAAAAGAATATTCTTGCCCCCAAATTAATTAATCCTATTACATGATCTGATCAAATATCAGAGTATATAATAACAATCCCTGTTTATATTTGTGTTCTGAATTGGCCAGCGAAATTATACAGCTATCACCGTACATAATTGCAAAACTAGAAGATGTTTTCTGTTCCATACGCCATTTTAATGCTCAAAAAGGGATGCAAATTTCTTTTCAATATACATATTACATAATGGGGAATTGAACCCGCACCCTCGCAAATCTAAGTATCATCCCGTCAGGTTTAAATAAAAACAATACTCCATCTTACCACGTACCATTTGATGAAGTTGCCATTGGCAACAAGGGAATGCGTTTTTTTTTTTTTTTTCCTTTTTTTTTTATTTGCCATGAAGAGCAGCAATTACTTATTGTTGTTCTTCTTTTTTGAGAACTCTACGTAACTTTCGCTAAGGTTCTATTTAAATCTGTCAGTTTTATATTAATTCCATTTGTTTTATTGACTTTCTATTTTGATTTAATTTTGTTTTAGATCTATCATTCATAACATATGCTACTGTTAAGGATACTTTATGGTTGCAAGTTTTTTTTTTCTTTTTATTCCTTTAAATAAATATTGTCCGCCATGAATAAGGGTTTTATTTATTATTAAATTAATAACTGGCATTATTGTGTTTAGTGCAGAAGTATTGAATTTAATTGATAATTCATCGCTTTTGTAACGGTAGTCTGAATGTGAGTCAAAGCGTCAAACCAATAACAAACTTTTATTCTGCAAAGACGTATATGTATCCTTTGTCAATTAGTTCCAAGTGATATAAAATTTATTCAAAAGTTTATGAAGTAATATTTCCTGTCGATACTTGCTACTACAATAATTGAGTAATTGCAACCCTTCATGGCTTCCCCCTCATAGGGAAGTTGTTAAACTCAAGTTTGATGCGGGCTTTGGGAAAACTCTGCGGGATGGTGATGGATCGATTAGTGGGTTTGCTTGTGAGGGGAGATGCTGCTTGTGGCTGGCGGGGGAGGCCTAAGTGGATCTTTGGCTATTCAGCTTTTGAGGGATTATGATTTTGAAAGTTTGATTATGTAAGGGACATCAAAAAGGTTACTGAAACTTTCGAATCTCTTGACGATAATGTGTCAAATATATATCTGTAGTATTAATGAGTTTTCTGGTCAACCAGAGATTCCTCGTTCTTCGAGGTTTTTTTTTTTTTTTTTTTTTTTAATTATTACTTACACGGAGGATGAGAAATTTTACTGCTCATAAATTATAGGTTAAATTTGGGATTGATGTGCTTTTTAACATAATTGATGTGCTTTTTAAACTAAAAGTAGAAATAGAAGTAGAATTTAAAAATTACGGTTTCGTTTATTTTACTGATTTAAATTTAAAATTTGAGTTTTGTTACAGTAAATTTTTTTAAAAAATAGTCACATTTAACTTTTTTATTACAGTAAAAAACTCTCACATAAAGTCATATCTTAACTCAAATTGAAAATTCAAATCAACGAACTAAACAGACCCTGCACATATTAACTTTTTAAAATAACTTAAAAAGTGCACTAATTTATGTACAAAATGTTTTTATACATTTTTATCAAATACTATAACAGCATCGTTTATTGTGCAAAATACTTTTAAAAGTTTCAAAAGCAATCCCAAATACACCTTATGTGATTAGGCTCTTTCAACTATGAAGAATATTCACGTGTTGTATGGAATATGAGGCTCCTTTGAGTATGGTTGCAAGTTTTTGTTAGGTGCATGCTTTTTGTCTTTGTTTTGTTGTTGATAGTGTGCGGTGTGCCCTATTTTGTTGTTTACTCCGTACGCCTTTGACCTTTTTCAATTCTTATAAAGTCATTATTAAAACAACATAAACTTCTATAATTGCAAACTTTGCACATAAAAGAGGAAATTGATTCTTAATCAAGTACTAGGCTTTTCGACATTTTTTGTTGTTGTTGTTGTTGTTGTAAATAATAGCTTGTTCCACATTGGCATGTAGTAGCAAAAATGAATATTTGGCACAATCCCTCAGTGGCTTTGTCGATTCAAGGCCACCACATCAATTTGAGTTTTGGCACAATCTCTTAGGAGTTATTTGGTTAGTGGGGTTTTGAGGTTTGAACTCATGAATCCAATTCAAACCAATGCTTAGTTTGAAAAAATAAGTGTAAGTTTGAACGTTGATGCGATATCAAAACGAAAAATTTCTTAAACTCATCGCCCCCCACATATGGCTTTGTAGTCTTGTGAATACAAGAAATAGAGGGAGTAGAGAAGAGACATTTTTCTGTTACCTAAAAATTTATTTGCAAAAGTATACAGATTCTGTCAAATCCTTAAATACTGATGTTTGTCCAACCATCCTTACAACAACAACGAGGACAATAAGATGATGATGATGATGATGATAAGTAATGTCCTTTCCCCTCTATCTCTTTTTTTTTTTTTTTTTTTTTTTTTTTTTTTTTTTTGAGAGAAGTAATGTCCCTTTAGAGCCGGGGAAAAAAAAAAAGAAGCAATGTCTCCTGAAAAAAAGGTAATGCTGGTCGCTTGGCAAGGAAAGCAATTTCATGCATCTTGTTCCTATTGATTTTCACGATAACTGGCCAAAGATATTGGTATCAGATAAGATCGGCAAGAGAAATTCTAATCTGCTAGACTATTTGTCATCCAAACATTCTGATCTGCTACGTATTGATCAAATATACCAAACCATATAATACAAGATGACAGCTACAAGTTACTGTATTTATAATGTCATTTTGGCCAAACAACTACGTGTGGTCCTTACTCCTATTTGTATTCTTACTTATTCTAGCTCGCTTAAATGGGTAATTAATCTGTTATTTCCCCTTTCATCTTTGACGTAATCACTTTCAAATCCACATGCCACGTTACAACTAATGGAAATTCAAGAAACAATTAAGCATTATCCAGTCTTAGTCAATTAAACAAACAAGGCATAGTCGAAATCCTGGGATAGGAAACTTAGTAGAAATTTTGTTATACAATGTTACATGATAAAATATAACTGGTTAGATAATAATTTTGAACACTAAAAATTAAAAAGGTAATGCGAATCTTAAACAAACTCAAATTAACTGTATAATTTTAGTGTTCAAAATAGTATACTAATCTTTGATTTTGATAAAATATTGTAGAAGTTCAAATGTAAACGAATGATTGTGTGATTAAGAATATCTTATTTATACACAAAAATTACAATTTTTGAAGAGATAAATGTAATCATTTGACATAAATATATATTATATATTTTTGATCTGATGACATAAATAATTTAAACTTTCATGTTCCCCATCATACATTTACGAGAAAATTATTTATTTAATTTTCCAATAAATAATAGCGACGTGACTGCGTAAAGAAATATTAGCTTTATAAAATTTTGATGAGGGTTTTTCTTAGAAAAGAAATAAAGGAGGTTAGAAATGTAAATTTGTAAATAAAAAACTTTAAATTGAATCGATGGAACAACAAACCCAATCTTTAGCGCACGCCCCTTGTCATCCACGTGGGCAATCCAACAGCCTACGAGATAAAAACCAAACCAAACAAAAACATACTTGTTACTTATGAAAAAAAAAAAAAAAAATACTTGTTTATTTTTCTCACAAAAAGAAAAAAGAAAATGAATAATAATAGAAAAACTTTTCATTAGCTTTCCAAAAGGTCTTTTTAATCTTATAAAGTAGACCTAATTGCTCAATACCCCATTACTAGTCTCAGTCTGCCTGCCTCTCGTTTCATCTCCTTCACTCCCTTTTGCGATGGACTCCGTCGCCATTTTCTGCACTGGGGCTCTCTTAGCCTGTGGCTTCTACTGGTTCTTCTGGATTCTCGGCCCCGCCGAGCAGAAGGGCAAACGCGCTGTCGATCTCTCCGGCGGTTCGATCTCCGCTGAGAAAGTCCAGGACAATTACAAGCAGTACTGGTCCTTCTTCCGCAGCCCAAAGGAGATCGAGAAGGCCGAGAAGGTTCCAGATTTCGTCGACACCTTCTACAATTTGGTAACCGACATCTACGAGTGGGGATGGGGCCAATCCTTCCATTTCTCACCCTCAATAAGGGGCAAATCCCACCGCGACGCCACGCGCCTCCACGAGGAGATGGCCGTCGATCTAATCGGCGCCAAGGTGGGGGATCGAATTCTGGACGTGGGATGCGGGGTTGGTGGGCCTATGCGGGCGATCGCCGCCCACTCGCGTGCCAACGTCGTGGGAATCACGATCAACGAGTACCAGGTGAACCGCGCCCGCCAGCACAACAAGAAGGCCTGCCTCGACTCGCTCTGCGAGGTCGTGTGCGGCAACTTCCTCCAGATGTCCTTCGCCGACAACAGCTTCGACGGCGCGTACTCCATCGAGGCCACGTGCCACGCGCCGAAGCTTGAGGAAGTCTACGCCGAGATCTTTAGGGTTTTGAAGCCCGGATCTCTATACGTGTCGTACGAGTGGGTTACGACGGACAAGTACAGGGCCGACAATCCCGAACACGTGGAGATCATTCAGGGGATCGAGAGGGGCGACGCCTTGCCCGGCCTCAGGAGCTACTCCGACATAGCCGAGACGGCGAGGAAGGTCGGCTTCGAGATTGTTAAGGAGCGAGATCTGGCCAAGCCCCCGGCACTCCCATGGTGGACTAGGTTGAAGATGGGCAGAATCGCCTACTGGCGGAACCACATTCTTGTCACAGTTCTTGCCGCCTTGGGAATCGCCCCCAAAGGGACCGTCGATGTTCACGAGATGCTGTTCAAGACCGCCGATTACCTCACTAGAGGCGGTGACACCGGAATCTTTACTCCGATGCACATGGTCCTCTGCCGGAAGCCTGATTCGCCGCCGTCGTCTTCTCCGGCCGATTACTGAGGTAATACTAAGCCCTCGCTTCGCTCCGGTACTGTCCCCTGCTCTGCCGTCGGTTACTTTAGTCTATTCCTAGTTATTTTTATTTTTAGTGGTAATTTATTTTCCATATTGTAATTTTGCTTTCCGAATTATTTCGTTTCTACAGTTGTTATTTATGATGCTCAAGAGGATTTCGTCTTAGTTTTTGTTCCTTCCTTTTATCTAGATCAGAATCAGATTCCATTTGTTAATCAAATTTCGTAGCAAGTTTGAGGAGGCAAAATTGAATCGAATTAACATGAGGGATCTTTTTCTCAGATTTTCTGCTGTTTTAGTAGAAACTTCGGTTTCGTTTTCAATTGTAGTTGAATTCTATCAAATCACGGTAAGAGCATGACTAGAAAGTAGAAATCAAATGGTCATCGTTGGTGGTTCACAGGAAGTTCAATGGAGGTGAATAGAGGAAATGAAAATCATAATCTAGATGGGGGGTTTACACTTGCAAAACATAGGGGAGGCAGTGGCACATGAGGAGCACGTGAGGCGCACGTGGAGGGATAATGATGAACACACACACATATATATATATATATTAGCTGTTCAACTGTTTAGGTGTCGAGCACTTTGGTTTTCCGTTTTTGCCCCTCTTTGGAGTTCAGAAGTCAGGATTCCAATTTCCGCGAAACATGTGGTTGCTTTTGTAATTTTCGTTTGTCACTTTATGGTTGTCGTTAGCTAATACTGGGCACTGGGGGTTACAAACACGCCGACATATGGGACCACATTGGGTTTCGCAAATCTTTCAACATTTGATGCCTTAAGGCTAATATAATATGGCATTGTACGCTCCGACAAATAAATAAAACCAAAAATGAAATAATAAGAGATTTTTCTACTAAGCACTGAAAAAATTAATTACTGGAAACACTCGCATTTCAGCTCTTAGATTTGTATGAGATTATTTTATGTATTTTTTTTATTTTAATGTAATTTTCATCCTATTTAACGGTAAGAAATTAGCCTTATCAATGGGGAATCCATATAAATAAATAAATAATAATAGCATTTAACACTGTGCCTACTGCCTGGTCCTTAATAATTTCTGTAGCTTTCAATAGTTCTACCGTACAAATTAGTTACTTATTGCAAATTGAATGGTTTTTTAATTTTGAAAATGTTAGAAGCATTCTCTTGGTCTGAATTTAATTTAACTGGGGGCAGGAATGAATTCATTTATTACTTCCCTTGCTATATATTTATTTTTCCCTGAGTTCTCGTCTTTTTCAGTATAACGTAACATATGACTGGTTATATAAAGATGTCAGATTCAGTTAGTGGCAAGCAGATTACAGGATTCAAATTCTCCAAAACTCACTCACACACGCAGAGAGTCCATCTAATCTATTTAAACTGACAAGCTCTCTTGCACTTTTTCATTAATCGACAATCACCCTTGGAATAATTTATTAAGAAGTGTGATTATAATAGCTTAAATGATTTTTTTTTTTAAATTCCAGAAAGTTTGAATCTGAAATGTTTTTCAAGTTCAATTGTTCAAAGGGCCCAGAAACTTGCATTTAAGTTGAAACAAGCCTTTTTTGTTCCGACACCTTTCAACTTTTCCAGTTTGGTAAATTAGTTCTCAAATTTTTTCTTGATAATTTACTACTTAAACTTTGAAATTCGTTACAATATTTGTCAAATTGAAAATGGAGTTATTATTTTGGGTAGTATTTTTCATGTGAGTGTTTAATAATGATAACTCTGATCTTTTTCATTGAATTGAGCCTCTTATACACATTATGAATGATTTTTTTTTTTTTTTTTTAATTTGAGGACCCTAAAACGGTTAACTATAAATTCAAAAAAAAATTCTGCTCATCTAGCGCATTTCCTGGTAAGATGTGGGCTGGTAGCGCAGAATGGGGCACTATGCCTTAGGCTCTTCGTACAATCATTGGAGGGCCCGCCTTTACATGGTACGCCCACCTCTCTGAAGAGTCGATCTCAACTTGGGAAGCAAGGGTATCGGAGTTCAAGAAGCAGTTCAGCAACACACAAAGAAAGAAGGGTTGGAGTGCCCGAACAACTCAAGACCAAGCAAAGGGATAATGAACTTGTCACGGAGTTCATTGCAAGGTGGCGAGCCCCTACTTTTGCCTGTCCCAGAAACACTCACTTGGAAGAAACCGGTCAAAATTTTAACTTTGTTTTTAATTTAATCAACATTGCAACATTTTAAAGTTAAAGAGGTGAATTGTTACAGAAAAAAGTTTAAGGACTCATTTGCTAAACTTGTAAAGTTGAGCGGGTGTTTATACAAAAAAAACCTTAGAAACAATAAGTGCTCTTTTAACATATAGCAAAATTTAAAAAGTAAAATTAAAATATAACAGAATTTTTGATGTACTATAAAAATAATAAAATTTAGCATCATTAAAATATAATTATATTATTATATAATATAAAATGTGATATTATTATAATAATTACTGTATCATTTTTGCTATTTGTATAATATTTTAAAAATTTTGCTAAATTTTAATTCAAGGCATGAAATTTTGATGTGGAATGTTATTATCTCAAACAATAACGTAAGTGTATCTTTATCGTTGCTTATGAGCTTCCAAAATGGTTGTGTGATTTGGCATTTACTGGGCTCATGTTTGTTATATGGTGACAAATATATTTTAGAGTGCATGACTCTGATCTGTATCTTTTACTATTGATTAATATTTTTTTAGTTAAATAATTATATTAATTAAAAATGTATTAATAAAAAATAAATTGTACAAATCCAGACTCATACACTCCAAGGTAAATTGAATAATTTTCTTTTATTGACTTATGTTGTTGCATCTTATTAAAAATGTATTAATTAAGAGTAAAAAATAAAAATTAAGAATGTACTCGTAAATTCAGTAATTTTCTCTTTTTTTAAAAAAAAATAGCAATAATCAGAACAATATTACTCGACAAAGAAAAACCAGTTCACTCAGGCTTCAGTATTACGAGGACAATGGAATTGTGGAGAAAAATGAAAATCTCATTCAACCCTGAATCAACCGTCATTTCAAGTATATATACAATCATGAAATAGTCTAATGTGAAAGAATAAGTTATAACAGAAATAACAACTCTCTAACTAATTCTAAAGCTAACTCTAAAACTCCCCCTCAAGATGGACTGTGAATGTTCTTAACAGCCATCTTGGATAACAATGAGGATAAACATGATGAAGCCAAAGGCTTTGTAAACATGTCAGCAAGTTGGTGATGAGACCGAATAGGCATAAGCTTGACGGAACCATCAACAATTTTATCACGGACAAAGTGACAATCAATCTCGATATGTTTGGTTCGCTCATGGAAGGTGGGGTTATTAGCAATGTGAATGGTAGCCTGGTTATCACAATATAAGAGGGCTGGTGGAGTCAACTTCACAGCAAAATCTTTTAATAATTGGCTTAACCAAACTAACTCACTTGTGACAGCAGCTAAAGCTCTGTATTTGGCCTCAGCGGACGAGCGAGAGATGGTATTCTGCTTCTTAGCCTTCCAAGAGACCAGGGAATTACCTAGGAAAACACAAAAACCAGTAACAGACCGCCTGGTGTCTGGATAGGAACCCCAATCAGCGTCAGAGAAGGCTTTGAGCTAAATAGAGGAAGAAGCGGAAAAGAATAATCCTTGGCCAGGAGTGGACTTGAGATACCGAAGAAGATGATGAGCAGCTGCTAAATGAGGAACACGAGGTTGGGCCAAAAACTGACTGAGATTGTGGACGGCAAAAGTAATGTCAGGCCGAGACAAAGTGAGGTATAAAAGGCGACCAATAAGGCGCCTGTACTGAGAGACATCCTGGAGGAGTTCACCATCGGCAGCAGCAAGCCGAGTTTTGGGATCCATAGGAACATTGGCTAGTTTGCTTGCGAGGAAACCAGTGTCTTCTAGGAGCTGTAGAGTGTAATGCCTCTGAGAAAGGATGATGCCTATCCGAGATCTTGCTATTTCAATCCCAAGAAAATACTTCAAATTCCCCAAATCCTTGAGTTTGAACTGGCCTTGAAGGAAAGATTTCAAGGAATTGATGATGGATATGGAGGGCCCTGTAATGACTATATCATCCACATAAACCAGTAATGCCACAAAAGAAAAACCAGAGCCCTTAGTGAATAGAGAGTAATCAGATTTCGATTGAACGAAACCAAATCGAAGAAGAGAGTGAGAGAACTTAGAGTACCATTGTCTAGAGGCTTGCTTGAGCCCATAGTTGGACTTATGAAGTTTGCAGGCTAACTTTCCCTTATGAGTAGAATGCTCCCCCTTTCCAACATATCCAAGAGGTAGATCCATATATACTTCCTTAAATAAATCTCCGTTAAGGAAAGCATTATTCACATCTAATTGAGCAAGGTGCCAATTCTGGCTAGCAACAAGAGCCAATAGAGTTTTAACAGTAACTAACTTTGCAACAGGGGAGAAGGTTTCAAAGAAATCTACACCTTCTTGTTGAGTATATCCTTTAGCTACTAACCAGGCTTTATGTTGATCCACCGAACCATCGGACTTGTATTTGACTTTGTAAATCCATTTGCAACCAAGGGAATGCTTCCCTGTAGGCAAAGGAACCACAGTCCAAGTATGATTGGCTTCCATAGCATCTAGCTCGGCCGTCATAGCTTCTCGCCAATGGGAAAATTGGACTGCTTGATGATAAAATTGGGGCTCAAACTGAGAAGACACATTCAAAACAAAATGCTTGTGAGAACTAGATAATGAATCATAAGATATGAACTTGTCCAGGGAATATAAGTTGCTGGAAGGAATCAACTCAGCTTTGGATAACATGACGCAATGAAAGTCCCATAGGTAAGATGGATGATGAGAAACTCTTGTAGATTTTCGAGTGGGAACAAGGGCAGGTGCAATGGCAGGTACAAGAGAGGATGACTGAGATGGAAGTTGTTCTGTAGGCGGTGGAGCAAGAGAATCTTCAGCTTGAGGAATTGAATTGTGAACTTCAAGCAACATAGTAGGCAGAACCAGGTTAGGGAATGAATCGACTAAGGTGTCGGCAGCAACCACTGAGTGGAACGGAAAGATATCTTCGTGAAACACGACATCCCTGGAGACAAATATTTCTTTATTCTCAATGTCATACAGCTTGTAGCCGTTCATACCAGGAGGATATCCCAAGAACACATATACTCGAGCACGTGGATGAAATTTTGGAACGGTGAACTGGTAGAATGGAAGCAAAAACAAGACAACCAAAAACTCGAAGAGATGAGTAATCAACAATATTCTTATACAAGAGTTCATATGGGGTCTTGTGTTGGAGCCACGGTGATGGTGTCCTATTTACTAAGAATGTTGCAGTCAAAACACATTCACTCCAGAATTGAATAGGAACACGGGACTGAAAATACAGGGCTCGGGCAACGTTCAACAAGTGTTGATGTTTCCTCTCAACCACCGAGTTTTGTTGTGGCCTGTCCACACATGAAAATTGATGCAAAACACCTTTTTGATGAAAAAAATCTGTGAAAGTCAACTCTTTAGCATTGTCAGTCCTGAATACCTTAATTTTATCGTTAAATTGAGTTTCAACCATGTGAAAAAAATGTGGTATAACAGTAGATACATCATACTTGTGTTTTAGAAGAAAAACCCAAGTAAAACGAGTGCAGTCATCCCCAAGAGTTAAAAAATATCTGTGTCCTGAATGAGCAGGAACATGATATGGGCCCCAAATGTCACAATGAACCAAATCAAAAGGATATGAGGACATATGGTTATGAGAAATGAAGGGCAATCTTCTTTATTTAGCTAAAGGGCAGATATAACAAGGATCATTTTTATTTAACGTGGAAACATCACAACGTAATTGATCCTTCAAGCTATCTAATCTTTTAAAAGTTGGATGTCCAAGACGGTTATGCCAGACATGGACAGAGATATTATTAACAGAAACATTGTCAACAGAAAATTTCAAATGCAGTTTATCTATATCCAGAACATAGAGATCTTCTAGCTTATCACCTTTGCCAATCATCCTCCTGGAGCTGATTTCCTAAATAACAAAGTGATCATGGAAAAAAGTGATAGTAAGGTGTGCTCCTGTGATGAGGGAACTTATAGACAGCAGGTTAAATTTGAATTCTGGAAGAAACAAGACATCTCTAAGAATTATCTTGGAACTAAGCCTCACATCTCCACAAAATTGGATGGCAATGTGTGTATGGTTTGGTAATGTGACAACAGAATTCTTTATAGGCCGCATAGATATAAAAGCGTTAGCATTCGCACAAATATGTCTAGAAGCCCCAAAGTCCACTACCCAAATTTTCGAAGACGATATTAGAGGAATCACAGAAACATATGTACCTGTTGAATATGAGGCACTTGGGCCATCTTGATGTTCACCAGTGTTGGTGGGTGAAGACAAATGATTGGCAAACATTGTCATCAGTTAATGATACTGAGTCTGGTCAAGACTTTGGAAGAAAGTTTGAGCACCACCAATCTCCTGGTTATTTTTTTCTGTGTGAATAGACTGACTAGAGATCTGGTTGATAGCTACAGGCTGGCTCTTGGATTGGCTGAATTGGTTTCTTGGTTGATTGAATTGGTTTCTTGGTTGTTGCTGGAAACCTGGCGGATAGCCATGTAACTTGTAGCATTTATCCACGGTGTGACCATGATAATGGCAATGGGTCCAAAAAGGCCTCTCCTTCTTCTGACCTTTTGAGTTATCTCCTTTGACAGCGGCAAAGGCCATTCCATTAGCCGAATCAGTGCCTAGACTTTGCTGACCAATTGCTCTCTGGCGTTCCTCTTGAGCAATCAAGGAGAAAACTTTATTGATGGGAGGAAGAGGATCTAGTAAAAGTAACTGACCTCTGACTTGAGCAAATGAATCATTGAGTCGCATGAGAAACGACATGATGTACTCCATTTGATCGTAGGAATTAAGTTCCTTAACTCCACCACAAGAGCATTTACCACAAGTACAAGCCGGTCAAAAATTGCTCAATTCTTCCCACAGAGCCTTCAGTTTTGTAAAATACACACTGACAGAGTTCTGTTCTTGACTATGCTTCACTAAATCTCGACGTAATTGAAAAATTCTAGGGCCATTACTTTGTTGGAATCGATCTTTAAGATCAAACCATATCTCAAAAGCAGATTCAGCAAACAAGATACTAGCAGAAATCTCTTTAGAGACAGAATTCAGAATCCACGAAATCACCATATTGTTGTTCTGAATCCATGAATTAAAGAGATTTAGATTAGTACCTTCTGGTTTAGTGATGGATCCATCGACGAATCCCAATTTGTTCTTGACATATAGGGCAATCATCATCGCTCTGCTCCAGGAGGCATAGTTATCTTCTGTTAACAATTGCGAGACAAGCACAAGACCAGGACTATCCGAATGGTGTAGATAGTAAGGACTCAGAGGATCATCAATGGCGGATCTTCCGGTTGAAACTCCGGTGCTCTCAGATTGAAAAGTCGCCATAGAAATCAGAAGAAAGACCAAAAATTGCAGATTCACCCGATCGGAAACAGAATCGAAGACTCGAACTGAATCAAGAAGCAGATTGAATGAATCGATGAATTTCACGAGGAGCGGAAGCAAAGATTGGTGAAGAAGACAAACAGTTTAGCTTCACTCTGATACCATATTACGAGGATAATGAAATTGTAAAGAAAAATGAAAATCTCATTCAACCCTGAATCAACCGTCATTACAAGTATATATACAATCATGAAATAGTCTAATATGAAAGAATAAGTTAAAACAGAAATAACAACTCTCTAACTAATTCTAAAGCTAACTCTAAAATTCAGCAAAATAAGAAAAGGTCTATTCATGTATTTGGTACACTCTTTCCCTCTTTCCAGTTTTCAAAGATTGATTCACTTTCGACGAATCGTGTGTGCAAATTTGCTGATTTTTTTTTTTGTTTTTTCTTTCCTTAACAACGAAAGATTTGTCTTTTGTTCCTTGAAACATGCATGTTACCGAAGATATTTCCCATGAATATGATTATTGACTAGGAGGAAGATTTTTATTATTAGATGGATGTAGACTGGATCTCTGCCAATATATTCGGCCTTTCAAACCAATCACTTTGCATCTTGTTGAACGAAAATTAATCGATGATCTTTCTCATGTGGTCAGTCTATTCGCTAAGATTTTTCTTCTCATAACGATGCATATATATTATATATTTTTTTCTTCATCTTTTTCTTTTTCTGTGGAACTGAAACACAACGATGGAGATGTTATTGCTAAAATTTTTGTTGCCACTCGAGCGTTGAAGAAAATCTGTAGTTAACTCTTTTTTTTTTTTTTTTTTTTTGGAAACTTGTGGTACATACTACATGGCGACTTTCTAAAAATAATTGTAAAAAATGCAGGGTTTAAAATTAATTACAATAAATAACATGTTTGTATTTCACTGAAGAAAAAAATAGAAAGTATAAGAAACAACATCAATTAAAAATAAGAAATATTGACGGCAAACGGGACACTTTTGAGCATATCTTTAAATTGACAGAGGTATCGTTCATTTTACCGATTTGAGTTTTGTTACAGTAAAAAGCTCTCAGAAACAGTCACATCTAACTTTTTTATTACAATAAAAAGCTCTCACATAAATCACATCTCAATTCGAATTAAAAACTCAAATCAACGAACTAAACGGACCCAGAATAAAATATACTATTAATCATTAAATTTCATATCCCAAGATTTATGGTATCAATCTTTACTTTCCTACAAAAATGAGTTCTTTCCCTCATTCTTCCTTTTAGTTTCGTCTATCATTTGTAATTCTATTATTTTTGTCTATCATTAGTAATCCCATGGTTTTTATGTTTATATATAATTGTAGTGTTTGAGAACCAACATAGATTTTTGCGCCCCTCTAATGACGGGGCATTCTTCCACATTTTTCGAACATGAATTATGCTCTTTGGCTAGCCTATTGGTTATATCTAAAATTTTCGTGGTGTGAAATTTAGAGTAATAACCTCTTGTGGGAGGCATAAAAATTTGTGATCATTAAGTCCTCACTTTCTTTTGATATGCTAATTGCTAACTTGAGCGGGAAAAATTTTAAGAGAATGATGCAAAACTGAGAAGCTAATTTAAGAAAATTTCCATTTTTAAGTTAATATGAAACAAGAAAAAGTGAGGATAAAAATTTTATTGTGTTTTAAAAAGAGCATAAATCTTTAAGAGCATGTTCGAAAAATATACTCAAACTATAATATTTGATTCCGATATTTAAAATTTAATTATATTATGAGAAGAAAACATTGTAACAGAATTAATGAGTATATAGCAATATTTAAAAACACAATTAAAAATGGAGTCTCTTTTTATTTCCATCCGGACCACCCGTTAACACCCATATATTTTTACCTTTTAAACTAGAACTAATCAATGATAGAATTTTTTAAAAAGAGTACTTTTAACGAGTTAGATATTTAACTAATTAGAATCTGTGATTTTCTATTGAGTTTATATGAAACAAACGACCTTAAATTATTTTTCTTCGGTCTAGATCTTCAATCGGTTTTAGAAGGCAGCAATAAGATGGGCCTAGCCCATGTAAATTTGATAGCCTTGGGCCTTAGCCCAGCCCGGAGACTTCCAACTCTTTAGACCCCACAGCGACCTTTCATGAGAAATTTAAAATTATACTAAATAGCAGATTTTTAGAATTAAATTAAATAAATAATAGATTTTAAAATTATTTGAAGTGAATAAAAATTTACCATATAAATGTTTCATTAGTGATTAAAAATAATTTATGTAATAAAAAAATCTTTATTGACGTGGAAAATTTTTTTTTTACCAATCATAAAAAGGAAATTTACGGTGAATTTTTTTTTACTAGTTATAAACGAATAATTTACGCGATAAATTACTATTTACTTTTAATAATTTTAAAATTTACTATTCAGTTAATTTAGTTTTATAAGTGTGCTATCTATTACATGCATATTTCTAATGTTTTTTTTTTTTTGCCGGAAATTCTTTATTTCTAAGTTGCATTGCAGGGAAAAAAAATAACTCCCATAAAGGAGCAAAAGATCACCCCCAAAAAAAAATCTAGCTAAAGTAGTTGATTCAATTTGGCTTTGGCCAATAAGAACCACAAGCCAAACGAGTGGATATGGTCTCTGATCACTAACAAGATTTCTTTGATGTTCATAGTCCTAATAAACAAAGCACTTCCTTCTCTACCCCAAACCTTTCCCCTTCTCCTCTGAACAGCAAAACTTTCCAAACTTGACTAAATCAACCTTCAATCTTCTTCTCCTTCAATGGCTACAATCACAAACTTTCTACCAAGATCTCTTTCCTCACCACTCAACAAACCCAATTCCAATTCCACTTCCCACTCCCAATTTCCCTTTTTACCCTTCTCCACCAAGCTCAGGCCTAAATCCACGACATCACTCGCAACCAACAACCGAACCCGGAACGTCGTCGTTTCGAAGGCTACAGCGGCCCCGGGGACCAAGAAAGCCGAGAGCGACGAGAAAGTGCAGCGAGTGCACAGCGTAGAGGAGTTCGACGAAGCCCTTCGCGCCGCCAAAAACAAGCTTGTGGTGGTGGAGTTCGCCGCCAGCCATAGCTACCACAGCAGGAAAATCTACCCTTTCATGGTCGACCTTAGCCGGACCTGCAACGACGTCGTTTTCCTCCTCGTCATGGGCGACGAGTCAGAGAAGACCAAAGAGCTCTGCGCGAGAGAGAAGATAGAGCAGGTCCCGCACTTCAGCTTCTACAAGAGCATGGAGAAGATCCACGAAGAGGAAGGGATCGGGCCGGACCAGCTCGTCGGAGATGTGCTATACTACGGGGACAACCACTCGGCTGTGGAGCAACTGCACTCGAGACAGGACGTGGAGAAGTTGATTGATGATCACAAGGTGGATCACAAGCTGATCGTGCTTGACGTCGGGTTGAAGCATTGTGGACCGTGCGTTAAGGTGTATCCGACGGTGATTAAGCTGTCGAAGCAGATGTCGGACAGCGTCGTTTTTGCGAGGATGAACGGTGACGAGAACGACAGCTGCATGCAGTTCTTGAAGGACATGGACGTCGTGGAGGTGCCGACTTTCTTGTTCATCAGAGACGGGGAGATTTGTGGAAGGTATGTGGGGTCCGGTAAAGGAGAGCTTATTGGTGAGATTCTGAGATACCAAGGGGTTCGTGTGACGTATTAAGAATAGCTGAATTTAAACCTTTATCACATCCGATTGAAAATTTTGGGGGGAATTGTTAAAAAAAGAAAAAGTGAAATTGAATTAATTACATGGGGGAATTGTTGAGGACTAGCGTTACTAATTGTGTGTATTTGTTACATCTGGAATGTTGCTATTATTTGCAACTCCTATAGTGACTACTGAGTTTAATTTGTTGAAACTTATGCCAGCAATATGCAGTGGAACTGAAATATTTTTATGTTAATTTATGTCGGTCCTATGAAATAAGTTGATCAGTATTGTTTCCTAATATTGAAGTACGAATGACTAATACTCTGTTAAAGTTTTTGGATGTTGAAAACAATCTCTGTGCTCTCTGTAAAAGATTATATTGGTTGTGTTTGGAATTGATTTTAAAATGATTTTGTTTTCTGTATAAAAATAAAAATAAAAACGTTTTCATTTTAAAATTATTTTTGAAAATGCGTTTGGTAGTTTTATTTAGAGATTGATTTCAATTTTAAGAAAAACTAAAACTGCTTTTAGTGGTTTAATTTTTTATTTCAGTTTTTTTAAATTGTCAAAGTTAGAACTTAGTTGCAACACTTGTCATCAAGCTAGAAAAATGCCAAACCACCTACATATTAACTAATGACTCAGCCACCAACCACCGTTTAACACCACCAATTTTTTTACTCCTCAGCAGCTTATTACCAAGAAAAAAAAATTTCTACTCAAACGTCTTCTCCTCTCTCCAAAGTAGAAGACATAAGAGTACTAGAAAATTCGGACCTAAGAGAAACCTCCTAGAAAACCATGATTTTTCTTGACAAATTCTAAGTTTAAACCCAAATTTAAGAGGCCAACTTGTACAGCAGTCAAGGTAAGGTGTTCTTCTTGTATTAGAAGGGTTTTTTCATGCTTTTGATGAATTTTTTATGGGTTATGTGTTTATGGGCTGATTAGAGATGTCTTTGTAAAAATGTGACAACCTTAGAACGGAGAAGATGGGGGTCGTCTCAGATCGGAGAAGAGCGGGGTCGAGGGAGATCGGAGACTTCAGAGAAGAGAGAGGGTCGAGGAAACAAAAGAAGAATGGGAAGAGAAAAATGAAGGACACGGCAGAAAATGGGAAACGACGGGGAAAGAGGCGGAGGCCGGCAAGAGAGGCGGAGTGAGAGGCGATGAGAGATTGGGGAAGGTTCTGAGAACTTTTAGAAGAATGGGAAGAGGAAGAGGACACGGTAGAAAATGGGAAGGAAAACGAAAACAGAGGAGAAAATGAAAATGACTTTTTTGCCTTTTCAGATTTTTCAGAAAACGACAAAAACGTTTTTATTTTTATTTTTTCAAACATTTTACACCAACGCATTTTTCACCCGCGTTTTCAATTTTTAACCTCGAAAAACATAAAAAATGAAAACAAAAATAAAAACAAACAGGACCATTAGTTTATAAGTGAATGCCTGGACCTCTTAGGAAAACAGAGAAGCCTAAATGGAAATGAATTACGAGTAAATTTTCTCCCACTAGGATACTTATTAACAGAGCTCGTTACGTGCACGCTTTGTTTTCCTGTAGTGTGAAATGTGTTTTGTTTTGTAGTGCAATTGGGAAATAAGGCCTGTTAATGTTATCATCGAAATATCGAGTAGAAAAAAGAAATATCCAGTAGAAAGTACGTAGGTGTCGATTATTTTATCGATTTGAGTTTAGAATTTGAGTTTTATTACAATAAAAAAATTTTAAAAATAATTATATTTAACTTTTTTATTATAATAAAAAATTCTCACATAAAATCACATCTCAACTCAAATTAAAAATTCAGATTAATAAATTAAACGGGCTCGTAAAATATGTTTGGCTGCTTCAATTAGATTATGAGAACATCCAATGCAATAAAAGTTAAAAAGCGGCTAAAAAATTGTTATTCGGCGCTAATTAACAATCAGTTTCACGTGGTTTTAGAAAATGCGACATCCTTCAACTTGCTCTGCCTTTTGATAATGGTGTGAACTGAGACTTTTAAACAACTTGTGGGCTTTCTTCAATATGGCTGCCTCAAGGCGTCAGTCCGACTAGCATATACGTTGACATTCTTACTTGTATTCTAGCGGGTATGTACGGGTACTCATACTTGCAACTAATAGCCCCGTGTGAAGAGCAGGGTGGGCAAAGCACCTTATACAATACAATACAATGACAAATAGATTTTGTGCAATCTTATATATAAAAGTGAAAATATAACACGGTATTTGATGAATGTAACATTTATGGTAGAATGGCGTAACAATAATTTGGATAATTATTTTACTGATGCTATAGATATCTCTAACATAAATGTTATATAAAATTAAATTTTATGTTACACTCCTCATTTTATATGTTACATTATATATAGTAACTTGATCTTTACACAGTAAATAATCACCATATATGTGTCTATATATACATATAATAATGAAGTAGAAAAAAAAAACTGTCTATTCTGCATACATTTTTAATCTAATTTAATTTTGATTAAATTTAAGAATCATAAATTGACACTACTGATAAAGAGTCCTACTCCCTTAAAAAATAATATACCTACTATTCGATAAATGCATCATTGAGTACAGCATATACAATTGATGATCGGACATCTTTTAATACAAAATATCTTCTATCCTAAGGGTTCTGAACCGTCCTAAGGGTTTTGAAGCACATGAAATGTTGCGAACGTGTTTAGCAAATGACCAATCAAGGAAGTGATAATGCTCGTATAATATTAAAAATATTCATTTCATTTAACCATGGATGCATTTACATATAGTTATGTAGGCAGCTTTTAGGTGTCGCTAAAAATCCTTAAAAAATGTCGTCAAAAGACTCGAAGCCAATTACACTTCACAAAGATATATCTACGTACAAATATGTCAACAGATCACATGGTTGCAAACAAAGTCATGTGATAATTCTGTACTTAACTCTATTTTATAATGTCAAATTCAAATAAACACTATAGAGCTATAAAAATAAAACTATCAAGAAAAGATACATTTAAAATAAAAGACACAAAAAGCATAAAACAAGAATTGAGCAACTCGAGTAATAATATTACAAATTTATTTCTCGTTCTCCTCCGAACCGGGTCAACAGGAGGTTATTGTATCCATCCGAATAAGAGATTTTCTCTGAAATCTATGGCAAACAAAAGCAAAAAGTTGCCAAAAAGATTGAAGATGGTTTATAGTCATATACCAATACTTCTTGAGCACTACTCCTTTAAAAAAAAAAAAAAAAAAAAAAAAAAAAAAAAAAAAACTAAAAAATGATTTATAAATTTATAATACTAGTTGCAACTCAACCTATTTGCCACATTAGCTTCTTGCTGCCAGTTTGGTTTTATTGTTGTTACTGTACTTAAAGTGATTATAAGAGAACTTTGGCAATAACTAGTGTTGATATATTTGCTCTTGGTTAGATTATTTAGGGCTTGTTCTTTTAGAGTTTAACTTGAGTATAATTCTTGAGTTAAATTTGAGTTATAACTTGAGTTGAACTTGTAACTTGAGTTTGTGTTTGGTTGTGTACATTTGAGTAGGGCTGGCAATCCGGATAACGACACGACGACACGACTCGAAACCCGCACGAAATTAGCGGGTTTGGGTTTATCAGAAATAGGTACGGGTCAAAATCAGGTCGAACCCGTGAAACACGATTAAATAACGTGTCATTTTCAGGATGACCCGCCAACCCGCAATTGACCCGCCATAACCCGTTTATTAAACGTGTCATATTTGGGTAACACGAATACACAACCCGTTTATTACCCATTTTATAAACATGTTAAAAAATAGGTTCAGAAATAGGTTAACACAACCCATTTATCACCTATTTTATAAACATGTTCAAAAATAGGTTCATAAATAGGTTAACACGACCCATTTATCACCCATTTTATAAACGGGTTGACAGGTAATCAATGGGTTGACACGACACGTTTATGACCTATTTAATAAACGGGTTATTCGTGTCGTGCCGTGTCAACCCGCTAATAAACGGGTCGTGTTTGGGTTTTGTATTTCGACACGATTAATAAACGGGTCGTGTTCGTGTCAGACCTATTCGTGTCAACTGAAGAGGTCAACACGACACGAACACGACCCGCCAACCCGAATTGCCACCCCTACATTTGAGTTATGGTTTGAGATAAGAATCTTTTTGAGTTTGTGTTTGAGTGAGTCAAAACTTGAATTTGTATTTAGATAGTATTTTAATAAAAACTCAATGCTGATGAAAAATTTTAATAGGGTATATGGGTCGGGTTTTATTCGTCTTTTCGTTGTCAACGCATAGAAAAAAAATCATCTCAATCAAAATTAAAACGAAAAAGTTATAACATTTTTAAGAATAAAAAAAATATAGTTCATTAATTTGAGTTCGAGTTTCCGAACTCGAGTTGAAGGGGAAACTTGAACTCGAGTTTTAGTCATAAACTCGAGTTTGAACTCGAGTTTAATCTCGAATTTAAACTTAAAAGAAGATGAACTCGAATAAAATTGTAACTCGAATTACCTTTTTTTGAGTTTTTCACTCAAAAGAACGAGCCCTTAATAATTTACCCGTATTCAAAAGTAACCTTAGAAGAGATTGCTTCTAAAAGTGATTGGTAGAGAATTCAGCCGCTTTCCAGAGCAGTAAAAGTATATTTAAAAAAAATCAGTAATTATATATATACCAAATTTGACGTTAATCTTTAACTCTCATAAGTAATCCTTATTGTTCATGGCGGCAAATTATTTTTTCTTTTTTCTATGTAAAGAACTAGGGTTGTTCATAAACCCGTAAAACCCGTAGGCTCAACCCACCACACCCCAATCCAATTTGAAAAATGTAATTTTTAGAATAAATTTTTTTCGGCTCATTTAATGTCTGGCCCAAAGTTTTGGGGCGGGGTGTGGGTTGGGCCTATAATGGCCGACACGCCCCAATCTAACCTGCGCTCTAACTTGCCTCCTCTAATATCTAACCCTAGACAGACAACTCCTTTCTACTCTCTAGTTTCTTCATGTTTGAATTAAGACTTTATGTTTGCTTTATGTTAAGACTAATTTATGATTGTAGACTATTTTATGTTGATATTTGATGGACTACTTTGCTTCATGTTTGATGTTGAATTGAACTTTGAATTTCTATCTGTTTGAATGTTGGAGTTATTATTTCTATTTGATGATAAACTTTGAATGTTAGATTGAACTTTGAGTATTTAATTCTTTGAATGTTGAAACCGACCACACAACCCACCCCGTACTGCCCCAACCCAACCCAAACATCATTGGGCTGTGAAATTTTTCTAACATCGTTGGGGTCAAATATGTGTAACCCACACCTTTTGAGGCGAGAGAAGAAAAAACCCTATCTCGTACTAACCCAACCCATGAACAGTCCTATACATAACGAATATCGGGTACCTCATATTTGAGTTGGTCCAAGTTCTTATAGAACCCGGTATTTGATCGCACCATCATTACAATTAAGTTGGCCATATATCTTAAATTAAGAGTCCGTTTGGTTCATGGATTAGAACCATTTTCGATTTACGTGTGTTTTTTAGGAGAGAAAATACTATAGCGAACCATGAACCATGATTCGAATCAGAGAATGAATCCTCCAACCAAACGGGCTCTAGTGTTTCTTGATCAACTTGCTCAGTTTCTGTAGAAAGTTTGATTTGCTATACCCTTTTGGTCAACATCATAATTATGGCTGTTATCCAAAACTTTAAGCAAAGTTTTTATTTTTTCTAGAAGTGTTTAAGCAAAGTTTTACTGCATTAATAATGTAAATGTGCAATGTTATTTTCTAGTACCACGAAGAGTGCCACATCAGATATAAATTACTGGCCTTATAAGATAATTAGCTTGCGTGCTTGAAACTGTATATATGTAAATTAATGCCAAGTCTTCTAGCAAATTAACCTCTCAACTATTTGAATTTGACGTTAAAACCACCAATTAACCTCGCAACTGCTTATTCAAACATGGCCAACTAGCTTGGCTGGCGAGTGACGACTGTAAATCTGCCCGGAGAAACTGCTCGTGGGATAACCTGATTAAAATGAAGGCTTCTCGAATAAATGCTTGCTTATATATTTTTTTATAAGGAAAATAAATAATTCTGGTGAAAACAAAAATCTACACACTTGATTTTAAAAGAAAACACCAAGATCCATAGGCAAAACAAAACCATGTGTAATTATATGAACAAATTAATGTGGCTATTACACAATTTTATGGGCATGAATTATAGATCGATGGCAATCAAATCAATCCAATTACAGTTTTCAATATGATCTAATATATATTATGTAGAATCCAAACAACAGTGTTCATTCAACCACAGTAAATTAAAGAATTCACAAAATTTTCTCTGAGAAATATTCTTTAATATCAATTTGCTCTGATCATCATGGTATTCAATTCAAGAGGCCTGGGTGGAGCCATGGTTCTTCTCTTCCACAGATTAATTTCTTTCCTTGGCTGCAAGGGCACTTCTCTACCAACAGTCATAGGAGCAGAGAACGGAATCATGACCTCCTGTTCTTCGTCACTCTCTTCGCGATCATCGGAGTAGCGAGTAATATTCCGATAATCCGCGTCCGGTGTTAAAACTTGATCATCATGATCAGCCCCCCAATCGAAATTCAAGAACGAATCACGTCCGCTCGCGAACCGCTTCATTTGACTCAAAGAAGGCGCTCTATCAGGAAGCGGAGGCTTACGATTGTTGTGATGATGATGATGATGATGATCATGATCAGCACAAGAAGCGTCGGATTTTCTCCCCGGCTTAATTGTATTGCTGCTGAACATCCTCTTGATTGACAAGGCGTGCTTCTTCACCTCACGTGGCGACCACGTGACCGGCTTGGAATCCTTTATCGTCGCCGAACCCGACCGCTTCTTCAGCTTCTTTTTTTCGCTGATGATCTTCTTTTTTTCGCTGATGATCTTCTTGTGCTTGTGCTTGATTTGGCCGATGCAAGAGACTTTCGGCGAAGTCGGCTCTTCTTCTACTTCCACCTCTTCTTGGCCGTTCTTCTTCGGCTTTCTCCGAGCTTCGTAAGGAATCATCGACACGATCGGACCGGAGAATCTCTTCTCTTTGCTGGGGCTAAAAGGAAGGCTCTGATGAAAAGTCACGACCGAAACGGCTCTCGGTAAGAACTTCAAGATCTTGTCTTGGTATTTCGCTTGTCTCTCCATCTTTTTTAAGTTTGGTTTCTTTTCTAACAACTTTGTGTGTATATATATATATATATATATATAGTAAAAGGAAGATTGAGCTAGAAAGTTTATGAGGTTGTGATTTTGACAATGTCAAGAAGAGACGAGAGAGAGAAAGAGATGAGAAAGAGGCAAGAGGTGAGTTTGTTTTATTATTGGTCAAAGACTGAGCAAATATTAAACCTTGTGAGTCCATGGGCATTTAATAATACAGCTTGCGGTTGATGCAAGTTTTCGTCTCCTTATGCACGCGATTTTATTTTGCGTTCAGCGTATTGATACGCGGGTTTCTATTTGAAATTAAATTATTGATTTAATCCGTGATATATACATGATGATTTGACTTGTCCTACGATTTACTTTGACATATATGTTTTGAACATGATCTAATTATTACAAATTACACGTGCGTGGTTTAATAAATTAAGATAATTACGGTTATAATACGAGTCTTTCTTTCATTTAGGATAATTAGTTGAAACCACGCGCGTATTCTACGTGTTTTATTTTTTTAGATATAAATATTTAAAATTCTTTTTATTAACTTAGTATTTTTTAAGAGTTTAATTTAGTAAAAGAAATATAAAATTAAAAACTTAAATAGAGCTTATAAAACTTAAGTAGAGCATAGTTAAAAGGAAAACAAAGTTTTTTAATTGAGTAAATTAGAAAGTAAATTATTTATGGGATGCATATGAAAAAATAGTATCGGTTATAAGGAAAAATATATATTTAGGTAGAGATACATTTAAGAGGATATAATATTAGTAAGGCAATTATAAAAAGAATATTGAGTATGCTCATATGTTAGAGAAACTATTTCAAAGGAGATACTTTAGAGTAATTTTATTTATGAGATAAATAGTAACTGAGAGTACCATCGAGAAAAAAAAAATGTAAATATGGCGATAAGAAAAAGTATTTTGAGAAACTACCTTTAATAAAAATAAAATTTTGGGATATATCTAATATAAATTGTTTTAGTAAGTACAATGTGAGGAAAAATGGTACTTTTTTAAAACGAAAAACTAGCTTATATTATTCAAGTAACAACTAAATCAGCATGTACAAAACAATTGATAAACCTGGGGCTAGCGTCAAACCAAAACATATCCGAATTAAAAGAAAAAGCATAAGCAGCTAATGTGAGAAAAATGGTATTTTAAATAAACACATCTTAAATAAAATTAAACTGTATAGGAATTTTTGGGAAAAAGAGAAAAAAGAATAGATAAAAAGAAATCAATAAATGCTTTTTAAAAAGAAAAAAGAAAATGAAACAAAAAGGTGATGCCCATGTGTCAAAAGAAAGAGAACATTTCATATAATGTCACATGTCAAAAGAAGAAAAAGACCTTTTGGTTCTTTTAAATATGTTAAAAATTAAAGATGTATCAAACTAATGTAAACTATTAATGGAAAAATAAAGCAGAACAAGAGAGATGGTCTAACGAAATAAGTAAAAATTAGTGGCATAGCCTAGTAATACATTTACACTTAACTCCATCACAAGGTGTAGAATTTAAACTCTTTAAAAAAAAAAAATCATCAATATATTATTTTTTTTCTAATGTCTCTATTTATTACAATTTGAGTCCTAAATTTCCAATACATGCATTTGATAAAAAAATATATATATATTTTTTTTAAAAATTATTTCCAATACATGAAAAAAAAAAATCAAACTAGATATGAACAAATTTTCTTATTCATAGAAAGAAAAAGACTTACTTATGATCCACATTAATTTTTTTAGAATTATCTAAAAAAATTTTAAGAGATTCCTTTCAGGTTCAATCTTAAAACTTAGGGAACTAAAGCATGATTGAATTTTGAAATTTGGATTTAAACAATCAAATTCATCAAATTTTGATGTGCAAACTGTACCAATATTTCTACAATAATTAAGGAATAGTGCCAGTCTTTGACCAAAACAGCAGGACAAATATGCTTGCCTCAAAATCATATCTATCTTATACTTTGGTTGAAAAGATCTTTTCAACCAATTTTTAAAATACTTTTTTTTGGAGGATATCTTCGTGGAACCAATATTAGTTTGTTTTACCTTGTAAAAAAAAAATCAGCATACACAATTAGCTTATGATATAAGCGATGAATTTTTTAAGTCGTCCACCAAATTGGAATTAGTTTTGTCACTTTATGATTATTTATGATTATAATTTTGCTAAAGTAATAATATTGTTGATTAGTCAGAGTAGTATTTGTAATACTGGGGATATAAATTACTCGCTGCTACGTGCTCTTTTGGACCAAACGGTTTGGCTGCTCAACTTTGATCTTTCAACAAGGTCAAAGCAAAATTCATTGTGTATGTTGCTTAGCTTTTAATTTTTATGAGGTATAGTCAGACTTCAACGAATGAAAACAGGTGTTTTAGCCGGCGAAAAAGAGCACAATCACGAGAGATTAAGTCCCACAAGAATTTAAGACTTCCGTTGATTTTACGGTTTTGCAAGTATAGTGATTTTTGGAGGTATATTACGTCGTTTTATCTATTTGTTTGCGTATTTATTATTTTTTCTCTAAAATTATTTCTTCTTTTCCCATTTATACAATGAGATCGACCAGTTCCCTACTCCCCTTCTAAATTTTAGCCCCTCCTCACCTTATCCTTGCAAAATTCTTAATAATAACGTCCAATCACATGTTCTTCAACAAGAGTTGGGGTCATCATACTCATCATCTGCGATGGTAGCATAGCAGAGAAAGAGGACTTACACAGACTCTCTTCTGTCATGCAAAGATCGATTTCCAATATCCGTTGTGAGGTTGTAATTATAGTATTATACCTTTTATTACATGCCAAATGTAGTTTTAAGCTCCGTTTATTTTACCGATTCGAGTTTATAATTCGAGTTTTGTTACAATAAAAAGTTCTCAGAAATAGTCACATCTAATTTTTTTATTACAGTAAAAAACTCTCACATAAAGTCACATCTCAATTCGAATTAAAAACTCGAATCAGCGAACTAAATGGGCCCTTAGTTGATATGACTTTGGACTCCATAAATATCAGTTGACGAAAGCATGGGTCAAATTTTTTTTCGTTCTATCTGTAATCTTAACAGTATGTTACGTGACCGTTAGATTGAGAGTGTGAAGACATCACTTATCTTTTTTTTTACTTAGAGGAAAAAAGAGTTGTAGTCTAAAACATTTGTGACGTAATATTTATCCTAATTTAGATATTCTTTTTATTTATGTTGTCTTTTTCAAAAATATTAATTTTTGACCATCACATTTTAACCAAAAGACTCGTGTTGATTTCTCTGTTTTTCCCCTAACGTAAAACACATGAGAGTGATGGTAATAGATTTATAAGATGGGCCACATGACTTGCTAGGATGATGATATGACTTTTTAATTGTGGCAGCTTCGCTTGACAGGAACACGGTTTAAGATGATGCAATTAAGCCGCACACGGAAAGTACAAAGAATTTGCCTTTACCATTTGCACGAATAATATGTGATGCTTTCTCATGAGTTGCAACGTTACAACCCTATCTTCCTCGTCACTCGTGTATAATAAATCTACGTTTTTAGCTTCTCCCAACAGGAAATACAACTACCCATCACTATCATTTTGGGATGACGAATTTTATTTGAATTATCGACAATCAAGGTCAATCATGAAATTTATTGTGTTCGGATCCAGTGAATCAGATATATGTTTATTTTAAAGTAGAAGATAAAAGAAACAGGCTTGCGGACTTTTTAACACTTGCCAAAAATGTATAATTAACTAGAGTAGATAGAATACGTTATTGTATTTATCCTAGTTTTTTTTTTTTTTAATCTGCTTGAAAATCTGTGTTTGGGATTCCAACTCTAGCACTTATCCTATAAAATTCTACCAAAATGTATTGCCATTGTTGACTCGGCATATGGATCATAATTGTAGGAGTAATTCCAAGTAAAACGACATCATCCAGATTGCAGCTTTCCTATTAGATCAAAACAACTTGCCGTTTTGCAAGAGTAGGAGTTAGTGAACAGCCAATCGCAGATGTACACGTGTATGGCTTTGATGAGTCGGTGCCGGCCACTTGTACTTTTGATATATATTCTAACCATGGCTTCTTTGGGACCATTCGGTTCACTTCAAGAGAGAGAGAAAAAGTTAAAAGTAATTTCTTGAGAGAAAGGCTTCTTCGAGACCATTTGGTTCACTTCAAGAGAGAGAGAAAAAGTTGAAAGCAATTTCTTGAGAGAAAACGAGAGGATTTGGGCATTTTGGGTATTGAGAGAAAATCAGAGGTTTTCTAGGGTTTCTGGTTTCTTCTTTGTAAACGTTCTTGGGATCCTTGTTCTTGTGATTGATTCTTTCGGGCAGATTGTTTGTATCGCTGAGATTGTGAGTTGTGAGGGTGTAATCTTTGATCTAATAGTGGAAGAGCTTCTTGTGAGAGAGCTCAATGGGGACGTAGGGTAAATCATTTTGCCCGAACCTCAGTAAAATCCTTTTGTGTCGATTGTTATTTTTTTCATTCTGATTCTAGAGTCTTGTGTTGGTTTCGATCCAACAGTGGTATCAGAGCCTAGTTTGGTACTAGGCAAATCGAAGACTCAGAGGAGATCTCTGGAAGAAGTGATGGGTACCGCAAAGTTCGAACCGGAACGGTTCGATGGTTCTGGAGATTTCGGTTTATGGAGGAAGAAGTTAAGAGCAATCTTGGTACAATAGAAGGTCGCCAAAGCCCTCGGGGATATGAAGGATGTGAAAGGGACTGAAGAGGAGAAAATTGATATGCAAGAAATTGCATATTCCACTATAATCCTCTATCTCGCCGACAACGTCCTCAGACAGGTGAATGAGGAGGACACCACCGCGAAGGTATGGCTCAAACTCGAGCAATTGTATATGACTAAGTCTCTCATGAATAAAATCTACCTTAAAGAAAGCCTTTTCAGTTTTAGAATGGATACTAGCAAAAGTCTTGAAAAGAATCTTGATGATTTTAGCAAAATAATCATAGACCTAGCAAATATTGAGGAAAAGGTG